ACATCCTTGCTGTAACTCCAGTGATATTAATGACTGGCTTTCACATGGGCTACCTTTAACCTCAAAGGCCTGGTGCACTGCTCAAAGGATCAGCACTGCTCAAAGGAGATCCTCATCATTTTCAGTCACAGGCAAAGTGGTTAGACTGGCTGTGAGACTGTACTTTTGATTTTTATCATCTGGCTTAGCCTTTGGAAATTTCCTGTGAAACGCTACACCTGAATGCACTTAGAATAAAGCCCTGGATTTCCATAAAAGCTCCCAGACTTTGTGTTTCAGACCTTACTCTTCTGTTGTGATGGCCAGGAAGTCGATCTTGAGTCAAATCAAGTCCCTTTTGAAATCAATGGCAAAACTCTTTTCATCTGTGTTTTCTCTGCAGGGAAGCCATGCTCTGAACTAGAAGACAAATAGCAGGGACAAAAACTACTGAGATCTATGAAGAGAGGCAAGAAAGGAAACTGAAGTAAAAGGGGAATTATTCTTGGGAGAGTGTTAAAAAGTTATATTCATTCAACTTTGTCACCACTGGTTTTGTGTATAGAAATACTTAATGAAAAAGTAAATTGCTTTTCTATGCCTGTGTTTTAAACAACTATGCAACTTACTTTACCATACACCTTATTAAAGGTAAACAACATTAGCCTTCAATGTAAAATATCTCCCAGGTATTTTGTAAAATGCAATGTAATGCACAACAAAATAGCATTTTGTGTATTGTAACCTGTCTGTAACACTGAAATGAAGTAGGATCAGAGATAATTCAGCGCTGTATATACCTACATATATCATGACTGGCATAGTCAGGCTTTTCATTTTTGACAGCTGAAACTAAGGACAGTTTTCTCCCTGCCTTTCCAAAAGCGTTCATCTGCAGTCCCAGTCTGGAAAGTCACCACCCTCCTTTTCTAACAGGACAAACCCTCTACAAAAAGCTGTGCTGTAGCTCAAGCTGCAGGGAAGACTGAGTCAAAGTACAGAGGACTGTGATGATGAAAATGCAGGTTTCGGACTTTTATAGCACATCTGTAGCCCCTGTTCTCCTGCTGGCTGTAACAATCACCTTCTTACTCCAACACCTATTTCTTCACTATGTTCACATTTTCAGAGCCTGGCTGACAAATACTGACAAATACCTTAGTCAGATGTTAAGGAACTGGTTGATATCTCCTTTATTCAAATAATTCGTAAATACAAGTGGCATAAGGACCTTAACTGCGGAAAACATTTTAAGGGCAAATCCTGCTCTATAAATTATAAGCATCTCTCACAGCCTAGATAAAAATATTTCAGGGATCTTCCGGCAAGATTTGTTTAATTTGTCCAAACCCATGTGTACCTACAGAAATCAAATCTTCAAACATGCAATATATAATTTTTATAACACCTTTTCTTCATCATCCAGAAGTATTTCAGATCAGAAACAATTTTCATTTAAATAGTAAGAAATAAAAAATGAAAAAGAGTGTGAATTTATTAGAAATAACATTATAGCAGGCATAGACATGTGGTAACTATCCAGGCCACAGTATGAGCACAATTGTACCATAAACTCTAATAATTAAACAAAAAAGAAAAAAACAAGTCCCGATTAAATTTTGTTAGCAAATGCAGTTAAGTATAATAAAGAATTCAGTCTCAGGTGTGCTCACATGCATTCAGCTGAATTAGGTTGGATCCTGTGCTCCTCTCTGCCCATGATAACATATTTTAGGATAAGCCAAAATTTCATCTCAATGCCTTTGAAACCTAAAGGTTCAAATTTTCATTCTGAAAAGGTTTTTTTTTAATTTCTTTTTTCAGCTCAAGAGTAAAATTAAAGGCTTCAGTTACCAGAAAACTAGAGAAATATTAATTTATTGTTCCATTTGATTTAGGGGGTGGAAAAAAGGAAAAAAAAATCCCAACAAACAGATGATTAAAGACCAACTTCAAGCTTGTTGCTTTTGTTACCATCTTCTCTCTGCCCTTACAGGTCTGACCTGAGTTCCTCACGATGCCACTGGCACTCCTGTTCTGCTTTCCCATTTGCCTGTGCACATCTCAGGCCCCTGGTACTAGCCTGGATCTTTCAGCCTGTGCTGTAGATAATATAGTAGGAAGCACTGACCACTTTTACTGTAGGTATCCTTTCTGGCTGTTCTGCTTTCTCTTGTGAGTCCTTTTACTCTTTCTTTCCACGTCAGAGTGCTGGGAATAGATACTGCCAGAGCCAGCACTGAAATGGCTCAGCTCCCCTGTACACGAACGTACCTAATTGAACCTGCATACAGGTACAGCTATAATTTGTGAGATGTGCACTGAAGCGTGCAGGCAATGATCCCAACATTGCAGTTGACAAGCAGAGTAATAAGGTGTTCTCCTGTGCAGCTTGGATACCAACAACTCTCTCAGTTCTGACTGAAAAACAGCACCTCAGATTTTATGGAACAGGGGTTTGCTGCTGAAGGTGCCAGGCTTTTAAAAGCAACATGAAAACACCTGGGAACTGACAGAGTTGAGATAGTCTTCTATTCCTACTTCATTATTTTGGGATACTCAGTCTGTAAAGGTTATGGTTATAAGGAGTCAGAGTTAAAAGAGTGCGTGGGAAAACATGCTTTTCTATTGCACCAGCAATTCCCCTTCAGCGAGGTACTAAGGCATCTTTGAGAGCCTCCAGATAAGAAATATCAAAAGCCATGTGCATGATCATATTGGCCTCCAGAAGTGGAAATCAGCTACCACCCTTCCTTGCAAATGCAAGCAAAGCCAGTTATGGTCATCTCTGGGATCTGGACATTCATATCACCAAGCAGCTGTCACACAGTGATGATCACTAGCAACTGGGATTGTATTTAAACCAACTTACAATGGCAAGATTTTCCCTTCTGTTGTCCCCTAAAATAACCTGAGAAACTTGAAGTTTAGTAAGAGATTTTACTGACATTATCAAAGCTTGTCAAAGGTGAAGTTGAGGCAAACACCTTCAGTCATTAGGTTTTATTACTCAATGGAAGCTGGTCATTGTGGTAAGCCCTCCCTCCTCCTGTGCTTTGCACTGTGCACTAACTGTTCTGTGTGACTTTGTAAGGGACAATCAGTGTGTTGCTGAAATGCTTTTTTAAAATTTTAATTTCTTTAAGATATTCTGGTAACATTTCTAATCCATTTTCTGTATCTGTTATCTTTGCATTCCCAGGTAATTTATTTAGTTACAGCAACACCACTAAGAAGAAAAAGATCAACCCTTTGATATCAGCTTCTTTTATCAGACTTGGAAATACGTATCCTTTCTAACCTGCCTCTTAGAACAAAAGAATAGCAACTAAAGGTAGAAATCACAGTCCAAGATGTCCTCTGTCCCATCATCTGCTCAGTGGGGAGAGGGGAGGTCTACCCACCACAGTCGCTATTTCAGTACAAATAACTCTGTTATGTACTGGTTTTAGCAACAGCAACAACAACAAAAAAGCGTAGTACTTCTATTATACAAATACATTATCCACATAACTTTGGTGATAAAGCCTAGCATGTATCCTTATGCTAATTATGGACGATCCCTAATAGATAATTTAAGTTGAAGTCTGATGGCTAGGCATAGGATATTATTCTTCTGAGGGAGAATTATGTGGTTTTTAACATACCTAAGTCTCAGCATCTGGGTGACTACTAAATCTACTTGATTGTGCAGGCAAGAAATTGTGTCTGTGCTCTTAGGCAAAACCAGGATTTTGCTTTTTTCTGAATTCAGCCCATCCCATATCTAGTAAAAGCTGAATGGAAACAGTTGGTAAAGGGGGGTATCTGCCAAGAAATGTGGAGAGCAGCAGCACCTTTATTATTGTAAGAGTCCAGGTTCTAGATTTAGTATCTGAATTTTGCACAATCCTTACTTGTAACTTTAATTATTACACCTAGAGAGCAAGCTAGCAAGGTGCACAGTGCTTCCCTAGGAGCAATGATAGCTGCAATCTCACAGACACAGTTTATGCTCTTTATGCATTTGCAAAAACCTTTCAGTGATCCTGACAGGAGACAAGCACTTGGATTCCATAATGAGGTGGCAGCTGACGAATATTTATTTTTTCCTTTGGTACCTATCTTGTCTGCTTTAATTGGCTGCTTGGGAATGCACTTGGAAACCTGACACAGAGTGCTGACACACCGTCTCCTTCACTGTGCCGCTCTGAGATGTGGGTGGGTGCCATCAAAAACATTTGCTTTTTAAACTCGAGTGGCAGTGGAGGAAAGTTAGATGACCGATAAGAAATGATAAGGCCTATACCCATGATTCTATGCAACAACTTCAATTTCCCTCATCTCCTTTCCCTTCCTTTCCTTGCTTTGCTCTTGTCTGCTTAGGATATACCTTCTTTGAGGCAGGGGATATTTTTTCTTAAGTACTTTTACATTACATAGCATAGCGGGACTGCCATACAGAATTAAGGAAAATAACAACGATGACAACAGCAACAATAATGATACAAGATTTCCTGGAAAAAAACCCCACTGACCTACAACAGCAACAACAACAACAACAACAACAACAATAATAATAATAATAATACAAGCTTTCCTGGGAAAAAAACACTGACCTCCCAGAAACCTGAATTCTCCTGCAATAAATACAATTACTTCCTCCCAAGCTGAATTTGGCCTATTTTGGAAGATACTGAAACAGGAAAATAACCTAATTTCTTTAAGAATGTGCACTCCAGAGGGAGAGTTTGCAGTCATTACCTTTTAAAAATTAGGCTAAGAATTTTTCTCTTTGACATTTTCTAATGAGAGTTAATATTCAGTAATTTTAGCCATCTTCTGGTGAGATTAAAACCACTGCAGGAAGGCAGAACAGAGAAAATTCTTTTTTCACTACAAGTTGCTGAATTAACTGAACCTGAAATGCTTTGCAAATCTGTCTGTGCCAGTGAAATTTAGAAAGAAAGAAAGAAAACAAACAAGATCTCTTCAGCAGGTTTCTTGCCTGTCCCACTTCCCAGTCACTTGGCAGCTCTCCTCCCCGGGGAAAAGATGCCAGGTAAGCTAGTCTGCCTGGCATACAGATCTCTGGCAGGCAAAAATTTTGTATACTTCTAGGACTGAAGGCTCTAGCAATGTTTGCTATGCAGACAATATTAGTCAAGAGTAAAGATGCCTTCAAGCGCTGAAATGAGGGACTCAAGTTGTTTTTTCCGCTCGAATTAGGGCAAAACCGAACTGTGTAATCTCCAAATCCTCAAAGTCATAGAAATGTGTTTCTATACATAGATTTTTAGTTTTGGGCAAGTCACTCATTACATTAATAAGGGATTTCTGAATGATGGTCAGAAAGACAATTAGAAATATTCTCCAATGGTAAAAGCTTGGCTTTCACTATGAAAGCTTCCTTTACTTGTCAGCAATCCCCTACATTCAGCATATTGCATATGAAAACACAGAGTGCTTGTATAGGCCTGTTTTTTCCCCCCCTCCCCCCCTCATTTAAAGGTTATTCAACTACAGCAAAAGAGACTTTCACCTCCATAACAATGGTAACAAGATGAAAAAATCAGTTCATTTTCCCTTGTTATTTTCTTCCAGTAGCAATGCTGTTAGCACTGTCAGGACAATAAAATACCAGGATTTATTAAACTAGTACTTAAAAAAACCCTAATAGTTACAGGAAAATTTCTCAATGAGTAGCAAGACCACGCAAATATTACTGTTAATGGAATTTTCTGTTAGACAGTTTTTTTAGAAAAGAGATACAATGGCTTTATGCTGCCTCTGGGCAATGGCTAATTGCATACTGTAGTTACAAGCATGTTTCCTTAGCTAGTCCCGATTGTAGGTACATCAGGAATGTTAATTCAGCACAACCAGTACACCGCATCTTTTGATTTTAAGGACACTTGCATCTTGCAGTCAATGGCTGTGTAAACTGTCTGCTACTGGTCCAGAGCCAGTGTAGATGTGTCTGTCTGCTTCAGCAGCTGCAAACAATCCAGGAGCAGCACACAGAGGCCTGTGTAGCTATGAATATTATCGTGCTGTGGCTGAATCTGTGAATAATAGCTCCTGTAACTGTTTGTGGCAGATCTGAAAACTGATGAAATTGTGACTGATGATGCGATAGAAGTTACCGCTATGGAGGGAGCAGCAATTTGGCCTTGTGGTCCCATGACAAGTTTGTGGCCTCATCAGTATGTAGGGCAAAGCAGCTGCTGTAATCACAAATGACGGCTTGGGGTTCCTGGGCTCCTGAGGTCTCTGAGAAGACTTGCAATTCACAGACTGGCCTAGTTTCCCCTTCTACCAGAAGGATGGAGCCTCATATGCCAATGTTTGCCTCAGCAATGGTGGGGAATATCAATCCTCAAGCCCCTAAGTTATGAGGAAACTCCTCTCAAGCACTGCTTACCCCAACCAGGGTGACACATTAGTAATGTTCAGAAAGGCTAGGGGGAACCCAAGCAGTGCATTGTGCTGCTAGGAGTCACATTTGTACCAAGCCAGCACAGGAAGGCTGCCTGCAGCCTCTCACAGAAGGAAACAATGCTCCTACATGCAATTACCACAACCTCATATCACACATTCTGCTGCTTTTCCCTCCCTGAAATCAGTCTATGTATCATATATTTTTTCAACTATTAAACATTGTGAATAGTTTGAAAATGTCTAGTTAATTTGTTTTTCAAAGCACCTGCTGCATTTTCTCGCATGTATTAGACAGGCATTAGGTGGCAGTATGGACTGGAGACTTCAGCATGGGGCAATGGGCAAGATATTCATATTCCTGACTCCAGTTGTAATGTGGAAAGATTCTCTAAACCTTCTCTTTCATTTAAAAAATGGAGGTGTGAGTAATGATCCCCTGACATCCTGTGATGATTAATTAGCTAACGTCTTCACAGAGCTCTGTGTATGAAAAATGCACTCTGTGAGTACAGAAATAGTCAAGTAGTTTTTCTTTTACATCAGTTTAATGTCACACATTTTGTCTTTGGTTTCAGCAGTGACACATTTGATCCATAATTCAGCCCGTACATTCTCAACTATTCTATTTTTAGATTTCAGAGAGGCTCAGATTGGAATTTATAGTGAAATCTAACTTCCCAAACCATAGTCTGACAAGACAGATCAGACCTAAGTACACAGTAGTTAGTGAAGGGCTGACAAAGTGCTTTCATAAAGTCATCACAAGTTAAAGATGGAAAATGCCTAGTGGGTCATCTAATCCATCTCCTTGCCTTTGAAACATTTTTCTTTATGCTACAGTTGTGCTAGTGCTGTATCTAAGCTGGTGAAAATGTTGTTAGAAGGTTTCTAGGGAAATCCCCAGTCTGACAACCAAGGAATACCCAGATTTCCAGATCAGCTTCAGATTAATTTTCTCCAAGTTTCAGCCCATAACTTCCTGAGCAATGTGCCTCAATCCAATCTGCATCACTTTTCAATATGCAAACAGGAGTTTGGCTGAAGCCTGACAAGTGTCAAAATACCTCAGCTAAACTCTGATCCAAACATACTTTGACCCACATCTGGATCCTTCTTGAACTAATTTCAATGACTCCCAAATTGCCTTGTATTATTGATATTTCAACTTGCAGCATGGTATTTTTCTTTCAGGAGAGCTATACCTTAGCAGGGCATCTTCACCTGATGCTGTGCTTGGAAACTGCCAGCAGACCTTCCTACAGGTAGAGTTTAGACTCCAAGCTTGTGTTTTTACATCTGAAATCCAGAACTAATGTCATCTTCTAAGCTACCATGTCACACTGCAGACTCATTTCATTGGCTCTGTACTCCCATCTTTACACATTTCGTGTCTTTCAGTATAGCTGCTCTGTATTATTCTTCCTTTGTCGGATTATTTCCATCATTTCCTCTGCCTCAATAAGTTAGTTTATATATTTTCACTCTGAATCTCATGCTGTTATTCTGTACCCATGTTGTTATCCTTTACAGCCTTTGTCTCTTATTTTCCATTTCCTCCAGGGCACTTACTTATACTTTCACATCATCTGCAGTTTTCCTTACTTTCACATCATCTGCAGTTTTTCTTACTGTCACATAAATGTGAACACCTGCATAAGAAACGAGCCTAGCACAAATCCCTACCTCATCCATTTTTCTTTTAGTATTCATTTCACCCTCATGTGTTTGTGTAAAACTCCACTCTTCTCAGGCCTCCCTGCCTGGCAGGGAGTTACTTGGCTTCTCTGCTACTCTCATTGCTCCATGCCTTACACATGTTATTTGCCCAACCAAACCTTTTCACTTGCAATATTGGATTCCTTTTTCATTTCAGCCTCAAACACTAGAACTTTCTCACATCTCTCTTGTCAGCCAGTGTTCTGTAAGGTGTCTGTTTTCTATATATATGTGAGCAGTCTAGAACAATTATCTCAATATTCAAAGCAGTGTAAAGATTTGATTTTAGGCAAGACCCTGACCTCATGCTTGTATTTGTGTCAGTGTAGATGATCATGCAATTTTAACTCACTTATTAAGATACTCTCAGTAGTTTTCTCAGATTTGTGGCTCTTGAGCAGCACTCCCCCATGTTTACTCTCATCACAGTGTAGCTGTAAGAAAAAAAATGAAAAAATAGTTTTACAAATTGCTACCATAAATTTTAATGAAAGCCTCACTGTTTAATCCTGTGCCTTATTTCTAGTCCCATTTCTCTGGCTTCAAGACTGCAGAAAGCCATCACCAAAGCTTTCGTCCCTTGTAAGCTCTTACGGATTGCAAATAAGTTACCCTTTAACTTTTTTTTTATAAAATACATACTAGCTCCTAAATCGTGGATTTTCTGCCCATAATAAATATTTCCCAGCTTCTTAACTGTTCTCTTAACTCTTCTCTGAACCCATTTCAGTTTACCAATATCCTTCTCAAATTGCAGATGACAGAACTGGACACAGGATTCCATTAATGCTCTCTCCAGTGCCAAACACAAATATCATCGCTCCATTGCTATTTGAGCTACCTCTGTTTATACATCCAAGAACTGCATTAGACACTACCCTGTCAGGGAGAAGCTCATTACCCCACCAGCTCAAATTACCCTTCAAATCCTTTACAGAGATGCTGCTTTCTGGGGCACAGGAAGATTTCCTCACCTCACTTTTATTATAAATTGCACCCAGATCATGTAATAAACTTCAGGTTAAGACCTACATTGTTTAGCTTATTCTCAGTTTGTTCAGAGAACCACGTTGTTCTATATGGCTTTTAAGTCCAGTGTTGCTGTCACTGTAAACCTCTTTGGTTTCTGGCACTTAATCAATGACCAAGAAGAAGTTAGCAGCTGACCACTCTAAAAGCACATATGCTTGCTCATGGTTACCTGCTTATGTGTACTGAAGACCTGGTACCCATCTTATTTTTTTAGATGTGCTATGGTAATTTTGTTGCAATCTTATTTACTTAAAAATATCACATAAGATCTAATCAAATTCTTGCCAGATGTCTGAGCACATTATATCCCTAATGCTAGCCAAATTTATCCCATCTTTATCTAGCAATCTATATGAAAGCATCCATTTAAACTCTTTAATAAAGAGTAAGAAATAATAATTATAAGTCCATTGATTTTTCTCCTCTATTTTCTTATTATATCCCATTTAAAATATTTTACCCAGAATGAATGTCAGAATGAGAAATAGCAGTCAAAAGCATGTGAGTCATGCCATCTTCTGATTGTAAACATTGGCATAGCATGGGAGAGGCCTCTGTCTCTAAAGAGTTATTTAAAATTCATGCTACAAATACCGAGGTCCTCAGCCAGCTCATTTAAAACTCCTGTTGTTGAGGAAGCCAAATAGCTTCTTTCTCTCATTTTAATGGATATTTTTAACAAAGTTTTTGTACAAAGTGTCTCAGACTTGTTTGTGAACACGGTGAGGTTGTCTAACAAAACTGTCAGTAATGACTTCTTGTTTCAGGTAGGTGCCCTCAAGATTTCTCTCGGCTGCCACCTAGCCCTGGAAGCAGTAGTATCCCAATTGCATCTGTATTTCTCTTTCTGGAACTAATCCCCTCTGAAACAATCAAACTGGTAATTTTGCTTGTTTATCATACTTGCAAAAGCAGCTACCAGCAGCCCCTTAAGCCTGGTTCTTCCACAAAACTTAGTGGCGAGTCTGAGTCCCCATACACCCTTTCCAAGAGGGGACCTGCAGTGTGAAAGGCAGAGGCACCCACTCCTTGGGGATTTGGTGAGATGGGAGGTACTTGTGGCCGTTATCTTCAGAGGATATTCCTGCTTGGAGTGTGTCAAATGGTTTACCACAAGCCTGGACTTAAAATGAGGTAAAGGCTTCAAACTGTGCTCCCTAAAGCATTCATCTACGCAGCTAGGGCCAAGGCCTCATCTATCCTAGCAAGGACCCTCTTCCAGCTGCTTATAGCCCAGCTCTCCCTGCAGTCAAGGATGTGTGGAGCCCTGCATCAGCTTGCTCTAGGTAGAGCCTGTAAAACACGTCCTAGAAATTCAGCCTTGGGGAGGGCACTTTTCCACACTTGAACCACCTCATTTAGTGCATATTTCCTGGTGGAATGCACAACCAAAGGATGAAAGAGAGATATAGATTTTTAAGTTTATGGTTCCAGTTAAAAAAAAAAAAAAAAGGTTCAGATCCTGTTTCATACCTGGCCTGGCCTCTGGCTTTATTCAGCAGCTTCTGTGTTAAGAAAATGTTCAGCAGGCCGGGGAACAGGAGAAGAGGGTTAGGAGCTTAAAGCTGTTTTGCTGCTACGGAAAAGATGGGTGAGAATAAATTATATAAAAATAATCCACATAAAAAATAAGCAGAAAAATAATGCTAATCCTATTTAGACGTGGTGATTCTCACTATATGTTTTATTTATGAAACTGTAATCCTAGAACAGTAAATAGTGCTATTCTTTATTCTCCCATGAAGATAATAGGGTAGAAAGGTATGTAGTATGCAAAAAAGCACACTAAAGGAAGAAATTGATCACATAATTAGAAGAGATTTTTTTTCATGGAACTTAAGAATGTTTTAAAACAGCATTATGTAATGGAGATTTATAAGGGATTGCTTTCACATAACCTATAGTACACTGAAAATGAGGGAAAAAAATTACCCAAACATGTTACATTTCAACTATGTGACATTGCACAAACACCCTTTGTCCACTAGAGAACCAGATGGTTTCTGCTGAGACTTGTTAGTAGGAACAACTTCAGCTACTACAACTGAGAACAGGTTTGTGTGTGCCTGTGTGAACGCGAGCCACACAAACTCCTCATTTCCTCCTCAATTATTCTTTCTGCACTAGTTCCCAAGGACTATTTAGCACGTCCTGGTCGCTCAACAATCTCCCGTGGTTTTGCACTGAGCTAAATGCTGTCATATGAGGCCCGAGTCTCTGCCCATAATGCGCTAATTGAAACTTGGCTTCGAGAAGGAAACAAAATGAGAACTGTGGCTGAGTCAGAAACCAAAGGTGAATTTTCCTGACTGGCCAAAGATTTGAATTAGGTATGTTCTAATTTTGTGCCAAAACAAGGCTCCAGGTTGAGCTGGGAAAAAACATAGACACCTCCCATGGTTTCGATCTGTCACCTAGCAAAAAGCGCGTGATTGCTTTATATAAGTAAAATCCCTGTTCTTGGCTTTATTCATCCAAAGTTTGATTGCACCCTATGAGGCAACAATTAGTGGTGGCACAGAATTCAACAGATTTGGCCTGTGAATTCAGCCATTGCAACAGCTCCTGCTCAGGACTCCCACTTTTATCCGTTTAATAGTCATGATTTTGGTTCGACATCTCAACTTGTGTGGTAAGGAATACTGTAAAAACACTTCCTCTTATGTGCCACAACCCTCTCCTTTGCTGGAATGGTGGTATTCTGGGAGAAGGATTTCTTGCACTCTTCCTGGTTCTGCAGGAGACCACTGGCAGCTTCGCCATAGTCTTCTGTCCCCACCTTTTTTAAAGGGCATATTCAATGATACCATCAACCATGACTGCCTTGCTTGGCCTGCTGTGCCACTTAGACACTCACAAGTCTATGGGTCCAGATGGGATCCAACTGAGAGTACTGAGAGAGCTGGCAGAGGAACTTGCCAATCCACTCCTCATCATTTATGATCAGTTCTGGATAACCGGGTCCCAGATGATTGGAGGTTTGCCATGTGACATCCAGCTACAAGAATGGTCAGAAGGAGGATCTGGGGAACTACAGGCCTGTCAGCCTGATCTCAGCACCAGGGAAAGTTATGAAACAGATCATCTTCAGTGGGATCATGCAGCATGTACAGGACAACCAGGGGATCAGGCCCATCCAGCATGGGTTCAAGAAAGGTAGGTCGTGCTTGGCCAACCTGATCTCCTTTTATGACCAGGTGATCTGGTCACCAGTGGATGAGGGAAAGGCTTTGGATGTTGTTTACCTGGACTTCAGTAAAGCCTTTGATATGCCTCGCACAGCATTCTCCTGGAAAAGCTGGCAGCCCACAGCTTGGACAGGTGTACTCTTTGTTGGGTTAAAAACTGGCTGTGTGTCTGGGCCCAGAGAGTGGTGGTGAGTGGAGTTACATCTAGTTGGCAGCCAGTCACTAGGCTCAGTGTTGGGGCCAGTCCTGTTTAAAATCTTTACTGATGAGCTGGACAAGGAGATTGTGTGCTCCCTCAGTAAGTTCGCAAACTACACTAAGTCTGGTTGATATGGTGCTGTTCGGTCAAAGGTTGGATTCATTGATCTTGGAGATCTTTTTCAACTCTAATGATTCCATGATGCTATGTGTGTAAGTAACTCCTTCCAGTGTAGTCCTCTATACACTCCTATTTTCCACATACAGCAGAGGTAAAGGTTGAGGTGTAGCATCATTATCATTACCAATGCACAGTTCAGTTTTTAGCTTCCTGACAGTGACTCAGAAGAGCTGATTTTTACTCCCACCCCTGCCATTTGAGCAGGCACCACTGCCGCAATGACAGAATAGTGCAGATGTACCTAAGTTAGGTTAGCTACTGCTGCAGCACTAAAACTCAGTGTGGAAGTAACCACTCTGTTGCTCATTCAGCTTCTCCAAACCATTTTGCAGCACTTTCTGCAGTCCCTGATGTTGTGTGTACAGCAGACAGATGTTATCTGCTCTTCTGCAAACTAAGCTGTCCTGAGCCAGCTGGAAGCACCACTACCCTGCAATGCCTGTTGGGAATGAATGGAGAACCTGTGTGATTAACAATTCATGTCTTTATTCTGTCTGTCTACACGAAGGATTCTGAGGATTGTTGCTTACCTTTGTAGTGCTTTGAGGATAACAACATAAGCAATCTTCTGCCCGTCTAAATACATTATGCATTAGGAAATCAGCTGGTGCACAGAGAATCTGATTATGCAGGACTGGAAACAGTGTCTACCTTCAAATCAGAAATAAAAATCTTGACCTTAACTTCTTGCTTCTGCAAAGGCCATCTGGTGGTCAGTTGGGCATTGGCTATGCAAGTGACGATGTGCACACACTACAGAGAGGCTTTAGAGAAGAGCACAACACTCCAGCCCTGCTTCACAGCTTCTGATAGAGTAGAGCAGAAGTCTACTCCCCAGTCAGCAGTAAAGTGGACACTGACAATATTTTCTTGCATGCATATATGTGAACTTCTGTCAGCCATTTTCCAAAATTATCTGTTCTATTACTTTGGAATTTGTATTTCAATGGGGACCAAAATACTGCCTGCAGTCATTAGAAGGACTGCAAGCAGAAAGGAAAGGGCCTGGGATTTGCTTTTAGGCTGGCCCTGGTATACATGATGCTTGGGGAAGAGAGAGGGCTGTCCAAATTCAAAGGAGAAAACCTCTTTAAAAAAAAAACAAAACCAGAATAGAATTGAAATAACCTGTGTGCTTGAATTCCAACTAATCCCAGTTTCCATGCACTTTTT